ATTTTTTTCTTCTACAATAACAGAGATATTAAATTTAAAAAAAACATTCATTTGTTCTTGTTAGGAGCGTTGTGCTCAATAAGAACGACTAGCCAAAAAATGTTCCCAACAAGAACAGCACATGTAAATTATATGGAAAAAAATGTTTTTTTAGTAAATTAAAGTTTTCTTATTTAAAATTAAAATATTCGTATACTTTCTTTAGCAAAAATATTCATCTATTAATCATACATTAATATCCAGAGATTCAACTCCAACAGAAATTTTTAAGAACACTTGATATTGATTCGCAATCTCGGGTATATAGTAAAATCATAAATGAATAGAAAAAAGAAAAAAAAACAGTATAGTTCTCAGGAAAACGAAAGCGCAATGTCTGTGAGCCATATCTCCATACATTTTTCTTATTGGGCTGCTTATAAAAGAAGATTGCTAAAAGATTAAGTTAGCCATCTATGATGGTGTTTCATTTGAAAGAACACTTTCTTAAGAACTCCATTATGTGGAGAAAACAAAAGACAAGACTTAGTTAAGAAGTAAAATTGAAAGACTGAAAATGTTATTGCTGATAAATTCATTTTTATTCACGTATTTTCATATGTTTTCAAAATTGTTACAGATGAAATGATTGCCACCACTTATCTAATTAAATTCGAGAGAAATACAAATATATGTTGAAAAAGAAAAGTTGCTATCTAACAATAACTATTTATAGAATGACGTTGTCATTTCCAAAAATTCGTATTAATTTTCAAGAACGATATTAATACATAGATAATCAGAATAGTAATGTTTAAGCAAATATATCAAGTAGTACCGAGAACGCATAAGAACAAATGGTTTTAGAGAAAATGAAGACTAACAATTCCATTAAGATGAAAAATAAACGAAGAAAATATGAAAAAAGAAGTTGTGTTGAACTAATGTAAGAAAATTGAAATCATTTAAAAGAGAGAATAAATACATGTAGATGACAAATAATATGTTTTGATGTATTACAATCTAATACTACTGAGAGGCCTGATGATTAGAAAATAAAATCTGGATCAGATTCTATGTCATTAAATCACGCTTCAAGAGAAAAATTACTATGTGTTCCTTGAGATGCAATAGTTGATTCACTGGAACGTTTTGTTGATCTATGCACTTTCTTTGTTGCTACTGAATCAGTGTCATTAGACGAAGTGAACGTTGTACTGGTTCGAGCTGTTGATGCAGTTGTTCGTTTTTTTGCATTTGATTTAGATGCCTTTTCTTTTAATTCATTCAGTTTATTACTAGATGTTATTTCTTCTCCATATTTTCCTTCTGTTCGTATACGTTTATTTGGCTTTGCAGATGATAATGATGTTAGAACGGTTTGTTGGAACAAGTTTGTGACTGTCGCGCGTACAGCTATTGAAGGACTTAATCGGTTTGAAGAAGTCGAATCATTGTTTTCTTTGTTATTGTTGAGTTGATCTGTTTGTATAAAGTTCGGTAGCTGAGGATAATTTGTTTTATTGACTGTCGTTAATTCAGTATAAGTTCGTGTTGTTTCATTATCTAATGAAGAAAAAGGTATAGGTGTAATTAAACTCATTTTATTACCATCTTCTTCAAAATCGATCATTGACATATATGGCCGCTTATTTGGATGATGATAATTTCTGTTTGCTATTGCTGAAAAGCCACGTGGTTCATATCCGATGCTAGAATTACAAAGTTCAAACATATTGTTGAATTTTTCCTAAGTTATGCATTTTTCCTACATTTCTAGTCCGTCGTCTTCTTCATGCGAGTTAATTTCGTCGATAGATGTTTTTGATATCGATTCAACTGATTGATGATTTTGTTGAAAGAATGAACTATCAGAATCGATAAAACACTTTATTTAGAATTTATATTAAGTAATAAAATAGTTTATTCGTAAACCTATTGCTTACTTTAAATGTGGTAATGAAGTTGTACTATTTGATTTATTAAAAGACAAATTAGAATGACTTGATGAATTTGTATTTAAGTATATATCGGGAATGAATGATGGAAATCTGCAAGAAATGTCAGTAAATTTAAAAAATAGTGAACGCCAAAGTAAAGTATCATACTGAAGTAAGTCGTAAGCATTCAAAGATGATGTATATGATATATTGAAGCTTTGATTTGTACTTGGTAGTGGTGGAATGTTTCTAAAGCATAGTATATTTGACATAAGAAGGTTTTATGCTACTAATGAATATAACTTACGTTATCTGATTAGATAAAGAAGACGAAGAAAAATTTTTTGAAAATGACATATTATTTTGTGATGCTGTTGGTATCGTATCAAACGAGGAGTTAGGATTTGATAAATAATTTAAATTTTCATTATTATTACTAATATTCAGTGTCATCACTTGTGTGTGTTGATCATTCACATATGATGATGTTGAATCTGAAATCATATTATGAGCAGCAGAAGCAGGTAGTGTTGAAGATGTTGGAAAACTTTCTGAACTATTTAATAAAAATTCAATATTGAAAAAGACTTTCTGGAAGCAAAATCCTTTTATTACTTTGATGTTGATGTTGGGTGATTAATCTGCTTTGTTCCTAACGGCTGTTTTACTACTTTCTCCTTCACTGCAGGAGAGTTGAATGGCCACACACCAAAACGTGTGAAACCAGCAAGTACCTGCTTTGGTGAAAATGCTGATGCATAAAGTTTATTAAATAATGAAGGTAGATCCTGTTTGCGGATTGTTTTACGTCCACTTCGATAGAAATATCTAGAAACAATTTTTTTCCAACATTGTTTTGCAACACTAAAAATAATAAATCTTATATTTCTCAATGTATATGACTTTTAAATATTTTAATATGTGCCACTTTAAATAAATGTGAATAAATAAAAATTTGTTTCAGTACCTGAATGTAACCGTGTCAAGAGGTTGCAATGCATGTGTGCAGTGAGGAGGTAATAATAACAATAATATTTGTTTTTTTTTCGCCAACTCAATTACTTCGACACTTATGTGACACGAGTGATTGTCCATGATTAAAAATATCGGTTTAGATGTATTAATAGTAAAATCAATAAACCATTTGAACCATTCACAAAATAATGATTTTGTTATCCAACCGGAATCAGACACAGCATATTGACTATTTTTTGGTCCATCCAGAGTCCACTGGTAGTTAAGATTCTTTGCGGCATATATGATAAACGGTGGTAATATTTTACCGGCTGCATTGCCACATATTAATCCAGTAGTAAAGCTTTTTCCACTATCACCTGATTGTTCATATACATGTTTTGTTTTGTGAGAAACAATGATTAATTCACCTATTGGATAAAAGATATGTTACATCGTCCAAAGTAAACTTTATGTAATCTTTGTAAATAGTTTTACTTACATACGGTTTCGTCACCAAAGCCGTTTTCATCACAATTAAAAATAGCATGTGGGCGTGTTATTAAATTATGTTTTTGAAGAATTTCTTCGAGCTTCTCATAGCAACTGTTGGACATACTACCTGTTACAAGTCTAACATAGTCGGATGATAAGTCCAAAGCTACTTTCTTTGTCAATCGAACACCAATTTGTTCGAGATTTTTAAAAAGTTGTACCAGGTACTGTTCTTGTTCATTTAATAACAACATTGGATGTCCACCACCAATTTTCAGTTCAGGATTATAGCTGTGCTTTCGTATTGTACTACGTGGAATACTATATTTTTCAGCTACTGCAGATGATGTAAAACCGTTTTTATAATCATTAACAGCTTTTATTAAGTCTTCTTTACTATAACTTCCTCTTTTCATGATAAGATATTACATCAACACGAAATGTATGAATATGTGGGTAACTAAATAATGACGATACAATGCCTAATTCAAAACAATAATATCACACGAGAGTAATAAAATTAGTAAAGATACACAAGTTTATTGTATCTCGATTTGATGTAAATGACCAACGGTCAACGAATTTAAATATCAACCTCTTTACTATTGGTATCATCGTTTGCACAATGGTTAATGCATGCACTTTGAGTTTGAGCTGTCCATAAAAATGTTGAAGCTATTTAATGAAAGTAACTAATTAATATAAAATACTATTACTGAACACCTGTGGATATTCAAACTTTCTCCTTTGCATGGCATGTAACATGTACTTGATAGATGTCAGTAACTTGTGCAATGTCATTCTTCACATGAAAATCATCATAAACAATAGAAATGTATACTTTACTATCATCAATATCGATAAGTGCAAAAAATCAAATGCTTCAGTCTGAAATATCACAAACAACATTAGAAATGTTGTAAAAATATGCTTGTTTATCAATATTAACGACAATATCATCGGATGCAATAGAGAAACATCCATTAAGACTGAACCTCTGGATATTAATGTATGATTAATAGATGAATATTTTTTCTAAAGAAAGTATACGAATATTTTAATTTTAAATAAGAAAACTTTGATTTACTAAAAAAAACATTTTTTTCCATATAATTTACATGTGCTGTTCTTGTTGGGAACAGTTTTTGACGAGTCGTTCTTATTGAGCGCAACGCTCCTAACAAGAACAAATGAATGTTTTTTTTAAATTTAATATCTCTGTTATTGTAGAAGAAAAAAAA